GACTAGAACCCGGTGTGCCGGCGCCGTAGGCAGAGGATTAGCCTAGTGAGCCAGGGTGCTGGCCCCTATATAGTCTTTATATTCCAAATTGCTATAATGAAATACCTGAGGAAAGATAACTTTATACAAAAAACAGGTCTATTGGGCTCATAGGTCTGTAGACTCAAGGGGACAGTGTTGGCATTCGCTCAGCTCTGATGAGGACTCACTAGAGGTGGCATGACAATGTGGAAGGAAGACGTCACATCTTTAAACAGGGACTCACAGAATGGGGTCCCCACATCCGTTCCAAGAGCATGTGAGCTAAGGACCTCTTACTTGCTTCTACGTTTTACCACTCCACAATCTCCCACCACCACACAGAAGGCCACACTTCCAACACAGGAACCCTTGGGGGACAAATGATACCCAACCCATAGCACAAGGTGTTTCCTTATAACTGTATCGTAACAGTCACTATACTGCCTATTTTGTCTGAATCCTATATTAGGTTGTCCTATTTTTATTTAGGAAAGGGAGCGAATCTTACTGATCTTGTTTTGACTTCAAAATCAAAGTTTCTACTTCCAGTGATCACTGACTTGGTTTATTCAAACCAACATTTCAGGTGAGGCCAAACTCATTGCATCCAAGATACCTGCTCCACCACGTTTATAGCAGTACCGTTCACAATAGCCAAACTATGGAATCAAAGTGTCTATCGTCAGATGAATGCATAAAGAAAATGTGGTACACACACACACAATGAATATTATATGAATATTATTCCACTATTTAAAGAAAGAATGAATTTCTATCATTTGCAACAAAATGGATGGAACTAGAGGACATCTCATGTTGATTAAATCAGACACAGAAAGACAAATACCACACATTCTCCTTTATATGTGGGAGTGAAATTTTTTTTAAAAAATAAAGAAGGGCCCATGGGTATCAGTTTTGTTGTAGATACAGTGTTTTGTAAAACTTTGTTTTAAATCGCTGTCAAACAAATTGATAAGAATAATATATCAGTATTTCTTAATTGATCTTGTGAGATTTAAAAATTTACTTTATGAGTGGCATTAGACATTTTTTCATTTGGTTATTGTTTATAGCCCTTATGTATTTTCCTGATGGACTATTGTCTATTTTTTAAAATATTTATTTATTGGGGCCGGCACAGTGGCATAGCAAGCAAAGATGCCTCCTGTTATGCCGGCATCCCATATCGGCACCGGTTCAAGTCCTGGCTGCTCCACTTCTGATCCAGCTATCTGGTATGGCCTGGGAAAGCAGTAGAAGATGGCCCAAGTCCTTGGGCCCCTGTACATTCATGGGAGACCTGGAAGAGGCTCCTGGCTTTGGATCAGCGCAGCTCTGGCCATTGTGGCCAATTAGGGAGATAATCAGTGGATGAAAGACCTCTCTCTCTCTCTCTCTCTCTCTCTGACTCCCCTGCTCTCTTTGTGTAACTCTGACTTTCAAATAAATAAGTAAATCTTTAAAAAATACATTTATTTATTTATTTAGTTGAAAGGCAGATAACAGAGAGAGGATGAGAGACACACACAGAGATCTATCCACTGGTTCACTCCCTAAATGGCCACAATGGCCAGCCTGAGCCAGGCTGAAGCCTAGAGGTTGGAACTCCATCCAATGTAGGTAGCAGGATCCCAAGTACTTGAGGCATCGTATGCTACTTTCCCAAGCACATCAGCAGAGAGCTGGGTTGTGAGCAGAGCTACTGGGACAGTCACCAGTGTCCCAGGCAGCAGCTCAATGCACTGCACCTCAATGCTGGCCCCAGTCATTTGACTTTTATTTTGTTGAACTCTTAATTTAGTAGAACCATTAAGCCTTTGACTATAATGTACATTTAAAGTGTTATCCCCAAAAATGCTTTTGAACATGAAACAATATGTAAAGGCATATGCTTGAAGACACTGGAGAGTGAAATATTACACTGTGAAACTACTAGTCAGTACACAGGAGAGGGAAGAAAATAATGAAAATGAGATTTGCCTAATGGACACTCTTTCCCCGTAAGCATTTTCCACTCAAGAGCTAGCAAATAAGAGTCTAGGCAGTGAGGGGCCGGCGCTGTAGTGCAGTAGGTTAATCCTCTGCCTGAGGCGCCTGCATCCCATATGGGTGCTGGTTCTAGTCCCAGCTGCTCCGCTTCCAGTCTAGCTCTCTGCTATGGCCTAGGAAAGCAGTAGAAGATGGCCTACGTCCTTGGGCCCTGCACACCTGTGGGAAACTCAGAAGAAGCTCCTGGCTCCTGGTTTTGGATCAACCCAGCTCTAGCCATTGCAGCCATTTGGTGAGTGAACCAGCGGATAAAAGACCTTTATCTCTGTCTCTTTCTGTCTGTCTGTCTGTCTCTCTCTCCCACTGTCTGTAACTTTACCTCTCAAATAAATAAGTAAATAATCTTAAAAGAAAAAGAGTCTAGGCAGTGAAACTATTCCACTGAATGTCTCCCTAGTCTAAGAAGAATTTGAGTGCAGGGCCTTGCCCTAGAAGTAAGGATTAGAAGGAGTATACAGGGTTCAGGAGATTTAGGCCTCAGCATCAAACCTTCTCAATTGAAGTATTAGATTAAGGCAACTAAGTACTGCTAATGACCCCAGGCAGGTAGCCGAAGGAGTAAGGGAAAGCAACACTACTCTCTCAGTAACAGATAGATGGAGCAGGTAAAAACCGCATAACACAAGCAACCAACTGGTTCTCATTGATATCTGAACACTCCACCCAGCAACAACAGAATATTCATTATTTTCAAGTGTGCGTGGGACATTCACCAGGATAAACCATGTTTGAGATCATAAATCAAAACTAACGAGTTTTAAAGAAGTGAAATCATACAAAGACTTTTCTCAAACAATGTGATTAACTAGAAATAAATAACACAAGGACAATAGGAAAAGCTCCAGATACTTGTAAATTAAACAATATACTTCCAAATAATCCATGGTTCACGGGAGGGACATCTCAGACTGATGTCAGCAAGATGGAAGACGAGAAGGTCCCAACTCTCATTCTATCACAGAAACAATAACTAAACAAACAGCTCTCTGGGAGAGGTTTGTGATGCAATGAAAGAGCTGCAATCATTCAGTAGAGCACCAGTACTGAGGATGCCACTCAGAAAACCACAGGACACATTGTGCCTGTGTCTCCCCCACAATCAGTACAGCATAGCTGGGCGCCAAGCGGGATGCCATCAGCTACGATCTCCTTCCGTGAAGGAAAAGGAGAGCAGAAGAACCTCGTCAGTCTTGCCCACCGAGGACTGTAGAAGGCCTTTCCCACCACCAGAGACACCCACAGCGTTCACCACCGAGGGGCTCTGAAGTCTTTGTCGATGCTAAATCCAGCTGATGGCACTTCCCAGGGTCCACGCCCCCGTGTCCCTCTGGAGAAGGGACTGCTGCTGCCTCTCCCTGTTTCCCTGGGGCTGGATCCATTCCTCAACTCAACACAACTTTGCAAATGCCTTTGTCTTAGTGCCCAAACGGATCAGCTTGGTTGAGACATCCCCTCTTGGGGGAAAAGAGAATAGGAGGACCCCAGTAGCACTTACCACCACCAGGAACACTCACAGCCTTGGTACTACGTACTGCACCGTCTTCACTGGCACTGACCTCCGCTGATGGAGCTTATTAGAGTCCCCGTCACTGCACTCTCCAGAGAAGGAGCTACTGCTACAATTCCCAGACCAGGGCCATAGTTGCCACACCCAACCTAGCTGGGACTCTCACAACCACCATAGGTAAGGGTCTTCTCTAACGAAAGTCAGATCATAAAGTCCAAAGGAGGTGACTGCTCCTTCAAATGCTGAGAAATGCGTGTACAACTATAAGAGAGTCCAGGAACATGACTCTGCCAAAGGTATATAATACACTTCCAGCAACTAATGCTAAAGAAATAAAAATCTACAAATTACATCTAAAATGCAACATAATTGCTTTAAAGAAATTCACCACTATAAAAGAGAACAGGGAGACAAATCAACAGAATCAGAAAAAAGGTTACATGAACAAAATGAAAAGTTCAACGCAAACATAGAAATCATACAAAGGAACTGAACAGAAATTCTGGAAATGAAGAACAGTAGGAATGAGTCAAAATTCCAATAGAGAATTAATCAAGAAGACATCTGTGAGCTTAAGGGTAGGTCATTTGAAAGTATTGAGTCATAGAGGAAAAAGAATAAAAAATAATGAGGAACTGCTATGGGTTTTAGAGACAAATGAATGAAAAAGAAGAAAGAAAAACTCTGTTACCTTCTAGCAAAACACAAAGCTCATTTAAAGAAATAATGGTTGGAAGTCTAGAAGGAAAATGAACAGCTATATTAATGAAGTTCAACTGTCTTCAAAGAAGATTTGCTCAAAGAAGAGGACAGCAAGAGTCTTTGTAAGGGCCAGCGCTGTGGCGTAGCAGGTAAAGCCTCCACCTGCAGTGCTGGCATCCCATATGGGTTCTGGTTCGAGTCCCAGCTCTGGATCACCCTTCCCTGACTGACATGTGCCTCCTTGGGATGGGAGTTCAGGTTCTCTGAAGGGAGGATGCTCTCGTGCTTTCAAACTTTATTATTTTTCTTTTTATATTTTTTTGGGTGAACAAATTTTATGTATTTCATATACATATACATATTTAGGAACAGAGTGATACTTCCCACTCTACCCTTCCTCCTCCTTCCTCTCTTATTTTCTCTCTTAATTTTTACAATGATCTACCTTCAGTTTATTTTAGGGGCTGGCACTGTGGTGTAGCAGATAAAGCCGCCACCTAAGGTGCAGGCATCCCATACAGGCACCGGTTCAAATCCTGGCTGCTCCACTTCCAATCCAGCTCTCTGCTGTGTCCTGGGAAAGCAGTAGAAGATGTCCCAAGTCCTTGGGCCCCTGCACCTGCATGGGAGACCCAGAAGAAACTCCTGGCTCCTGGCTTTGGATCGGCGCAGCTCCTACCACTGTGTCAATTGGGGAATGAACCAGTGGATGGAAGACCTCTCTCTCTCTCTGCCTCTCCTTCTCTCTGTGTGTAACTCTGACTTTCAAGTAAATAAAGAAATAAATCTTTAAAAGAAAAGAGTCTTTGTAGTCAAATTACCAAAAGTCGAGGCCAAAGAGATATAATGTCAAAAGAAGCGAAAGAAAAGAGACTCATCAGATAGAAGGGAATCTATATAAGATAATTAGTGGATTTCCCAAGGAAAATTTCACAGCATATCAGAGAATGGTACTATATATTCAAAGTACTCAAAGAGAAATACTGCCACTCAGAATACTATACCAGCAAAATTATCTTTTTAAATATGAACAGGAGTGGGGGAGGGGAAGTGTTGGACACAGCGGTTAAGATTCTGTTCCGGAGGGTCACATCCCGTATCTGTGTGCCTAGGTTTGGGTCTTAGCTCTGCTCCTGATTCCAGCTTCCGGCTAATGTGCATCCAGAGAGGCAGTAGTTGATGGTTCAGTAGTTGAGTCCCAACCACGCATGTGAGAAGCTCAGATTGTGTTCCCAGCTCCTGGCTTCAGCCGGGCTAAGTCCTGGATATTGTGTGCGTTAAAGGAGTGAACCAGCAGAGAGAAAAACTAAGGGAGTTCAACACCACTAAACCCACCTTACAAGAAACATTTTAGGGAAATCTCCACTTCAAACAAACAAGCAAACAAAAACGCTAAGCAGTGATAGAAATGCATGTGGAGTATAAATCTCACCAGTAAAGGCTAAGCACATGGAAAAATACAGGTTAACATAAAACTATATGGATGGTGTGTAAATTGCTTTTAACCCTAATCTAAAAGTTAAAATATAAAAATTTATTAATGAATGCACAAAATAAAAAGAAGTGAACTCTGACTACCAGAACAAAAAATGTATGAGGGGGAAGGGAGTAAAAGTGTAGAGTTCTTGTGTGTGAAAGAAGTTAAATTTTTTATCAGCTTAAAATAGTCATTACATGAGACTGTCACTGTGGTACAGTAGGTTAAGCCTCCTCCTGCAGTGCTGTCATCACAAATGGGTACCGGTTCATGTACCAGATGCTCCTCTTCTGATCCAGCTCTCTGCTGATGGCCTGGGAAGGCAGTGGAAGATGGTTCAAATTCTTGGACCCTTATACCCACATGGGGGACCTAAAGGAAGCTCCTGGCTTCTGGCTTCAGATTGGCCTAGCTCCTGCCATTTGCGGTCATCTGGGGAGACAACCAGCAGATGGAAGACCTCTCTGTCTCTCTCTCTCTCTCTCTCTCTCTCTGTGACCCTATCACTCATAAATAAATAAAAAAAAAATCTTTTTTTAAAAAAAGCAGGTTGTCACAACTACATGATATTTTATGTAAGTCATGAGCTAACCACAATGAAAATACCTATAATAAATACACAAAAGATAAAGAGTAAAAGATAAAAGCAAATCACTACAAAAATCATCAAATAGCAAAGGAAATAAAGGAACAAAGGCACAAAACAACTGAACAAAAGACAAAATAATTTTTTTAAAGATTTATTTTATTTATTTGAAAGTCAGAGTCACACATAGAGAAAAGGAGAGGCAGAGAGAGAGAGAGAGAGGTCTTCTATCCGCTGGTTCACTCCCCAGTTGGCCTCAATAGCTAGAGCTGCGCCGATCTGAAGCCAGGAGCCAGGAGCTTCTTCTGGGTCTCCCACATGCGTGTAGGGGCCCAAGGATTTGGGCCACCTTCTACTGCTTTCCCAGGACATAGCAGAGAGCTGGATCAGAAGTGGAGCAGCCAGGACTCGAACTGGTACCTAAATGGGATGCTGGCACTGCAGGTGGTGGCTTTACCCCCTGCGCCACAGTGCCAGCCCCAACATATTCTTGAGTAGTCACTAAGTCAAAATGTAATATTCCCAATTTTTAGGATTCAGCAAAAGAACTAAGAAGAATGTTTGCAAAAATAAACACCTATATTTAAAAAGAAGAAATACCTTGAACAAATAACCTAACTTTACACCTCAAGAAACCAGAAAAAGAAGATAAAAAACTAAGCTCAAAGTGAGCACAAGAAAGAATAAAGATCAAAGCAGAAATAAATCAAATAAACTGTTTTAAAACTGGGTTGATTTTTTGGAAAAAAATAACAAATAAGTGGAGAAACTCTTTACTTGCTAATTTACAAAAAAGAGAGAAGACTCAAACATCATATTGGAAACAAGAGAGGGAACAGCAGCATGGGTGCCTCAAAAATCAAAAAGATTGGGGCCGGTGCCATGGCGTAGAAGGTTAATCTGTCACCCGTGGCACTGGCATCCCATAGGGGCACAGGTTCTAGTCCCAGCTGCTCCACTTCCGATCCAGTTCTCTGCTGTGACCTGGGAAAGAAGTAGCAGATGGTCCAAGTCCTTGGGCCCCTGCATCCACATACATGGGAGACCAGGAAGAAGCTCCTGGCTTCTGGCTTCAGATCGGCGCAACTCCAGCCATTGCAGCCATTTGGGGAGTGAACCAACAGAAGGAAGACCTTTCTCTTTGTCTCTCCCTCTCACTGTCTGTAACTCTACCTCTCAAATAAATAGATAAAATCTTAAAAAAAAAAAATAAACAAGATGATTACAAGGGACTGTTATAAACAATCTTATGCCAACAATTTAAAAGCCTAGAAGAAGTGAAGAAATTCCTAGAAACTTAAAACCTAAAAAGAATGAATCAAGGCAAAACTAGAAAGGATAAACAGATCAATAATCAAATCTTCTTATCGGCCGGCGCCACAGCTCACTAGGCTAATCCTCCGCCTGCGGCGCTGGCACACCAGGTTCTAGTCCCAGTCGGGGCGCTGGATTCTGTCCCGGTTGCTCCTCTTCCAGGCCAGCTGTCTGCTGTGGCCCGGGAGTGCAGTGGAGGATGGCCCAAGTGCTTGGGCCCTGCACCTCATGGGAGACCAGGAGAAGCACCTGGCTCCTGCCTTCGGATCAGCACGGTGCACTGGCTGCAGCGCGTCAGCTGTAGCGGCCATTGCGGGGTGAACCAACGGAAAAACAAAGACCTTTCTCTCTTTCTCTCTCTCTCACTGTCCACTCTGCCTGTCAAAATAAATAAATAAAATCTTCTTAACAAAGTAAAGCCCAGGACTGTGTAGCTTCATGAGTAAGTTCCACTAAACATTCAAAGAAGAATTAGTGCCAATCCTTCTTAAACTGTTTTTAAAAAATAAAAGAACTCTTCCAAACTCATATAATGAAGCCAGCATCATCCTGATATTAAAACCAAACAAAGATTCTACAAGAAAAAGAAAACTATTGGCAAATATCCCTAATAACATAAATACAAAAATCTTCAATAAAATACCAGGAAATCAAATTCAACAAGACATTTAATGTGTTACATGCTATGGCTGAATGAGTCTTATCCCTGGGATGCAAGGAAGGGTCAACATATGAAAATCAATCAAGGTGTTACAACACATTAGCAACAGAAAAGGAGAGAAAACCACATAATCATCACAGCAGATGTAGAAAAAGCACTTGACTAAGCTCAACATGTGTTCATGATTAAGACTCTAAACACAATAAGTGTCAAAGGAATTTATCTCAACACGACAAAGGCCAAATGTGAAAAGCTTGCAGCTAACACTATGATTAATAAGGGAAAACTGAAAGTTCTAAGATCTTGTACAAGGCAAGGATGTGCACTTCTTTTCAATATAGTACTCAAAGTCCAGCCAAGGTAGTTACTCAAGTAAAAGAAAGAAAAGGCACTCAAACTGGAAAAGAAATAAAATTATTTCTCTTTCTAGATTAATGATAATATGTATATACTCAGAGATATTTAAAGACTTAACAACCAAAAAGCTGTTCAAATAAATTCAGTAATGCTGCATGATACAAAATAAACATACAATAATCCATTATACTTCATAAACAAATAATGAAATATCCAAAAAGGAAAGAAAGAAAAACAAAACCAGTCACAATTACAACAAAATGAATAAAATACTTCATAATAAACTTAAACCAAGAGGTAAAACAATGGCACATAAAACACTGATGAAGGAAATCGAAGAAGATGTAGATAAAAGGAAAGGTATCCCATGTTCATAAACAACATTTCCCCTTTGGCTGCAAATTCTATTGAGCTTCCAGCACCTCTGTTCACCACAGTCCATCTCAAGCAGAGCAATACTGCCAAGCCAGTGAAGCAGCTGGTCAGGTTAAGAATGAAGAGCTCCAGAAATTGCTCTTAGTTCTTGGAAATGGCTACATGGCCCTAGTCTGCTCCCAGAGTAGAACTCTGCCTTTAAGTAAGACAACACATGTCAAGAAGTAGGAAGAAGCCGATTCTCTCCTCCTGAAGAAACTTTACTGAAGTGAGCTGAGACCTGGGCCGAGAATATTCCAGAGAAAAATTAAGAAAAAACAAAGTCTCCCTATATCATAGCACCCAATCATGCCAAGCTCCATTCCCAAACATCACCACTTTGCAGAAATGCCACTTCCCTCTGCAGAGAAAGAATATGAGTCACTCAACACAGTACCTTACCCCACCAAAGATCAAGGCGAATATCCTTCCATCACAGTCTATGGGCAATCTGAAATTTCTCAATTCTCTTAATGCAGCCCTTGTACCAGGCATAAAAATCAACATGAAGGTGCTGTCACTTCTACCTGCCAAGTCAAGACCTTTCAAAGGAAAAGAATGCACAGAACCAAACACAACCAAACCTTCCATAAGACCAGCACCTGTTTCTAAGGCTGTGAGCACAGACCATCCAGGGACACCAGGCCCCCTTGCTGAAGTCCCAGAGCTCATGGAAAAAGCCTTCTCAGAGCCAGGGCTCTGGGTGCAAAGCCAGCAGTGAGTTCTAGAGAGCTTAGGCAGCTGACCCATCGAGGCAGGGAGAAAACAACCATAATGAGGCCAGGCAGGGGGCAAACTGAGAGACTCCTTATATTTTGAAATGGGAAAAACTCACTGAATAAAAGTGGCTAAGATCAGGGACCTTGACTAGGCAGGTGAGAGATACTATCAGACCAACAAGTATGTTACATGGCCAGCACCTGGGCATGACAACCTGCACATGGCAAAGCTGCCTTGACTGTGCCCCCAGCTC